TTCCTTTCTTTTTTTCTAACTTTTAAACTCCCTCCCTCCTTCCCTCTGTCTCTCTCTGGCAGACCTCAGAAAGCAGAGTAGGAGACCCTTCCTAAGCTGAAGTGTGGGCTGGTTTTATGGAACTATTTGTATACCAGTTATTTAATATCTCCACGTCTCAGTTTCTTCACAGTGATAATTGCATTTTCTCCAGAGGCCTCCGTGGAGGATTAAATGGGGTGATTATGTAAAGTACCTGATACCGAGTGAACACTCAATAACCATTAGTTGCTATGAAAGCCTACCAGTTGGGGAACACGTGTGTGAGGTGTGTACATGGGCTGAGGAGGGACAGGAGCCCGAGGCTACATGGCCTGAGCACGGAGAAGTTGTGTAAGGTGACCCAGGCTTCCTGGCACTAGCCTCGTCTTCGGAAGGAAAGTCCTGCTTCCTGGGAACCTCTCAGACTCAGGAACCTGGGAGGGCTGGCCCCTTTCTTGAGTTAGGTTGGGTTGACTTCACCCTCATTAAATGTTCCTCTCTTCTCAGCTGGAGACTGAATTTCAATTCAGTGATGCGGTTTAGACATTTAGTGTTCCACCCTTTGATGGCAGTGGCGTCTACAGTCCAGTGACAGAGGAGGCATCGGTGGTGGAGGAGCCTACAGAATATCTGGTGGACAGTGCTGCTGGTTAATAGCTTCCTATCACAGTCCTGCCCCTGGGCAGGATTTTGGCTTTGGTTCTAGAAGTCTAGCCAGATGCAGCTGCCTTTTTCTTGCCTGATGGAAAGGGGTTTGTAGCCAATACAACATCCATTTCTTCTTTCCCTCTTCTCTATAACAGAATTTCCCCTCTCCTTTCATTTTCTTCAGGGGGCTGCCCAAACCCTAGTTCCGACGCAGGTCCCATCAAATCAGTGCGTGACATTCCCCTGGTGGGCTGTCACTCAAGGTGGACCAGTTACAGTGACAGGTGGGTTCACATTCCATGTTGGAAGGTTTCTCTCTCTCTCTCACCTGCCATATGTGAACCAGAAGGTGTGCCCCCCTGATTGCCCCTACAGCAATGTTGTGACCAGGAGGCCACCCTCCTAAGGTTGAAGCAAATACTGTGGGCAGCAGAGCAGAGGCATGGAAAGAAAGATCCAGGGTCCTTGACGTCATGTAGCTGCTGAGTCAACCAGCCCTGGGGCCTGCCCGTCTGGGATTTCCTTTATTTGAGAGATTTGCTATTTGTTTACCTCAGTACAGTTGGATTTTCTCTTTCCTGTAGCAGAAAGTATCCTAATGGATTTACTCCTTTCTTTGCAAGCCTGATTCTGTGCATTCAGCATTTTTCAAACAACTTTTTTTTTTGTATGAGGAACTTCTTGGTCCCTTTTGATTTCCGGTCTTAAGGAAGGAAAAGGACCTCAAAGGCGTTTGTTTATGTGTGTCATACTGAATTGATATTTACTACACCAGAAATTTAAAATGGAGATAACTTTGAAATATTTAATTCATTTAAACACAAAATAACAGATGTATTAACATGTCAACATCAATGACATATTTAAAAACTATATTTCCCCTCCAATTAGAGGAGTAGCCTTGTTTACTATTTTTTACAAATCTACTTAATGTCACGCTTCTTAGAAGACAGCTGGACCCTCATATCTACATTTTCTTTCAATCCATGGTGATTGGTTGTTTTGGTTGAAGAATATGAAGAAAGCCTAGCCTCACCCAGATGTGCATAGAAAAGAGAGGAGATTTTAAGAGCCTCTTCAGATAGGATGGCCATTCTTCTTTGTTGCCTCACCAAAACTTTCAAGTAGTAGTTTCTTAAAGATCAGTTGCAATGTGACACTTGGAACCACACCAGTGAATTTTTGCACTATGTTTAGTCTGACTCCATTGGCTTATCTTGTGCTTTGAATGGATCTTTCACTCTTACGTGACTGTGCACTGGCCATTTGGAAAAATTCATGTGCTAATCATGCTCTTCCAAATTTTGATGTATTTCATTATACAACATCCAGACCCCACACTTTTTAGTATCACCACCATGCTCATCAGAAAACTCTTGAAGCAGACTTTGAGAAGTCTGAGAAAGACTGAGAAGCAGTTCAGCCCATGGCAGAAAGCACCTGAATTGACAAGTTGTTTAAAAATTCCAATTTTTGCTTGAAGGTTTGAATTTTTATCCTGGGCTACAACACTGTTACTTGTTATCCTTGAAGTGACAGGCTCATCTTGTTCATTTTTTGAGAAGATGCCCGTCAACGACCAGGTCTGAAGTTTGTCAGGCGCCCTTCTGATTAAGAATGGTGTTCCACGAAAAAAGTGGCAAGTTCAGTTTGCACGTGTGCTTTTTCCTGAGACAGTCACCACGCTTCGCTGTGCAGCAGAAGTGAGTTATTCATACTTAACATTTCCTCACGTTAAATATTAAAATGGTCTGTTCTCAAGGGCCAAGATTTAAATAATTTCATGGATAGTTCAATGGCATTCTAAAGTGAACCTGGCTTTTGTCCCCTATAGTGCATGGTCGTGAGGAACACAGTGACTGGAGTGTCACTTGTCCTGATTTGCGGGGGCTACTGTCAGGTTCCATCACCCTTGCTTGTGTAGCATCAGAGCAAACGTTGACTCAGTCAAAATGCCAAATAGCATCTTAGTGTTACTATGGGATTAGTGTGGACTTTGTAGGCTTCCTGAAAGGGTCTTGGGGACCCCGGGAGTCCACAGACCACACTTTCAGAACTTCTGATCTGACCGTTGATTCTAACAGCAGCCCAGCATGCTTCCAATGAAACTCCCTCTTTCTGAAATCAGCCAGAGTTGGTTTCTGTTGCCTGTCATCCATGTTCCATGCTAAAAAAAAAAAGTCATATGGATGGTTGGTTGAATCAAAACATTTAAGAGCTCTAATTTAGGATGTTTCATAAGTAAATCCTTTGTCGTTGATGCTTTGCACAGCAAATAATAGGGAGGAATGAAAGACTCTAAAATTTGACTTTTATAAAACAACTAACCTCTATGCTTTGTACGTTCATGATGTTAAGTCAGTATTACATAGTCACACAAATCTATGCTGATCCATGAATTGTGCTAAAAGAAGGGTCAGGGCACTAACATTTTCTCCCTGCTGTGACTGCTTCCTGTGACCTTTTCGAACTAAGTATGACTGTCCTCACTTTAGACATTCAAACAAACAAACCAACTTGAATTTGGTGGTTAATTCCTTGGCATCTTGACTAAGAGGCTCCCAAACCCCAGTACCTCTTTGCTTTAGAGGTACCTAAGAATTTCTGATAAGGGTAAAAACATGAAACTGTGATGTAAGAGATTTATGCCTTGGAACCAGTGCTGCAGATTTGTAGACATCAGGGGTGGTTCGTTAGGAATTTCTTTTATGAATTATATCATGATGACTTGATAATACTGGCTTTGTATTAAAGCAATGTTTTTGACCTTCCATGAAGTGGTATTTTTGAAGTGGAAGAGACCTGACTCATTTGCTCTGTCCAAATCTCTCACCTCTGGAGCATGCCAGCATAGTCAACATGCTTTTCAAATTGTACTTTCTGGGTGGTGACTTCTGATAACCTGACTAGTGTGCATTTCATGAAATCAAAATGTAGCACATGCAATGGCAGCCATCTCCTTAGGTGTCCTGGAGAATCCCCTCCCCTGATAGTCGCACCCTTGTGCAAACCTTCTGAGTGTGGACAAGGTCTGTGACTTGTCTCTAGCCAACAGAATATATATAGCAAAGGGGTTGGGATGTCACTTCTGTGATTGGGTTTCATAAGATAATGGCTTCTGGCTTGCCCGCAGACTCTGTTTTGCCTTCTAGATTTGCACCTTTTGGTGAGGCGAGTGGCCACGTCAGAAAAACCCATATGGTAAGGAACTGAGGGTGGCCTGTGGCCAACAGCCCGTGGGGAACTGAGGCGCTCAGTCCAACAGCGTGTGGACAGCTGAATCTGGCCAACGACCATTGATTCAGCTTCAGGTGAGACCCTGGCGGCAGCTGGCACCTTAACTGCACCCTTATAAGAGACCCCGAAGCACACCCACTGTGAGATCATATATGTGTGCTGTTTTAAGTTGTGAAGTTTGGGGATAATTTGTTAGGCAGCAATAGCTTACCAATACACTCTACTTGCTTCGTCTCTTTCTCTATCAGGTCCAGGAGAGTTGTGTAAGGTCACTGAGTTCTTGCCAGGAGTGTTTACCGGTTTACCCACCACTGGAGAGTCTCCTGCCAGAGAGAGCCCACCCCCAGGGTGAAAGGTGACACCTGAAGCTGTCAGTGTTCAAGATTGCCCATGCTCCAGGAAAGCCGTCTGTGCTTTCCATCAAATCCCACCCTCGGGCCTCACACTAGAACCTTCACTTAAGCATCATTTAGCCTGCAAATCAGAGACAGCCAAGCAGTTATTCCCTGGGGTCTGAAACCTCAGCCCAGGAGGGAGACTGACTTTGAATCCCCCCAACTGCTGTCCACAGCGAAGTTGGGAATGCAGAAATGCACATTCCAAACCAGTTTGTAAGTGGAGGTGCAAAATGTCTGAATAATTGAAGCCATGAGTTAAGAAACTTTTTGAGAGAGAGAAGGAAATTAGGGAGATACTGAAATATACGCAATGCACAGGGCATCCCGCAATCCACTTCACTCTAGACGGTTCAGTTTCCCCATCAATAAAGCAGGGGTTGGCCTCCAGGTCCCAGAGTCTTGGAGTCTTACTTTGGCACAATCTGGGTTGCTGTGAGCTGGCTCTCTGGGTCCTACATCAATTGTTAAATGAAAATAACAAATAGTTATCTCCTAAAGGGGTTGTGGGACTGAATGAAATAAACGGAAACTGCCAGCACAGAGCCTACACACGACTGAGCCTGGCTGTTATTACTGCTTAAAGGGGCCCTAGATCCTTAGGGTGATTGGGGCCGCGGGTGAGCGGAGCGCAGCCCGAAACCCGGCCTGGTGGCCTGCCCCGCCCCCGTGGGGCCGCGGTCCGTCGGATGACTCGGTGCAACGTGTGTGTGGCTGCGGCGCGGGCTCTTCCGGGCGCTGCAGTTTCCTGCCAAGCACCGCGCAGCCGCCTCGGCCGCAGGAGCCCCGGGCACAGGCCTCTGCGCGGGTGCTGGACCCGGGCTCAGCCGCGCACCCTGCGGGGCCCCACGCCACCCGCCCGCACGATGCGCGCGGCGCCACTGCTGCTGCTGCTGCCACCGTTTCTGCTGCTGCTGCTAGTGCTCCTGGCCGTGCCCGCCGCCCACGCCAGCCGTGTCCACTCCGCAGGGGCGCCGCAGCCAGAGCACCCGCCGCCTGGCTCGGGGCCTGTGAATACCACCCGGACCGGGTCTGGGGAGGCGGCGGTGGCAGGCGGCGGTAGCTCCAATAGCAGCGGCGACGCTCTGGTGACCCGCATCTCCAGCCTGCTCCGAGACCTGCCCACCCTGAAGGCGGCTGTGATCGTGGCGTGCGCCTTCACTGCCTTCCTCATCGCCTGCCTGCTGCTCCGCGTCTTCAGGTGGGTCCATTCGCCTCATTTCTTCCCCAGCAGGTCCCCTGCACCGCCTGCTGCTGTCACTGTGCGCCCGCGCCACCTTCACGCACGGATGCTCTGGATGGACCGCTCTGTTCCACTCGAGCATCTTGGTGCACTCCATCTACCCCTGTTCCCTTTGCTCCGCGGTGGTACGCTCGCCGGGTGTTCCTGGTACATTTTAGGAATTTTCTCCTCTTTTAACTGGAGAGATATAAAATAAATATTGGTCTCCCTTGAACTCTCTGTTAATGCTTAATACTAACAATAGCGCTCTGAATTTTGGTAACCTTACATAGAATATATTTTTATACCCATGTCACAGATGAGGAAAATATTTCCCCTGAGGCATGATGGCTTATCCAGGTAAACTTAGTGGTGGAGATAGAATTTGAACGCAGGTCTGTCTGACTTCAACCTTTCCCTTCTTTCATCTGTGGTTCCCTTAACCCCCAACCTGCCTTTTTTTTTTTTTTCCTTTCTCATGCTACCGAAAGAAGCAGTACCTAGCATGTGGTGATGACCACTGGACACACGTTGGAGGTGTGCATTGCAGCTGGGATTGGGGCTGGGCTTCAGGATGCTCGGTGACTCAGTGGCCTCAGTACTTTCTGTTAGTAGGGGACAGAGACAACTCTACTATGCTTCTGCCTGTCTGAGTTGGCCCAGTGAAAACTCCATGGCCATAAGGGACCTTGGAGAGGCTTTTGTAGGTAGCTCAAGTTCAAAGAAAAAGCTTTTGGGAAATTGGGAAGGGTGCCCAGGTCCCTGGGATAGTGAGAAGGAAAGACCCACCTCTCTGTGTAGCTCTCTGTGTAACTCAGGTGGGCTGCCAGGTAGAGAGAGAGAGAGAGAGAGAGAGAGAGAGAGAGAGAGAGAAAGCGAGTGAGCGCGAATTCACTGCCCATTCCCTCCCCTTCCAAGTGTACACAGTGTGCTCTGGTGTTTGATCAGCTGTTGGAAGTTTGGGGCCAGGGGCTTGCTCGCTCCCTGTGGGAGCATTTTCAGCGGCAGGAGCAGAAACCAGAGCTGGAAGGGCAGGCTGGGGAGTTACCCATAGGTTTGCTTTTGTTGCGGTGTGACTTTGAACCAAGGCGTTTCCCTGTGGGTCTGTGGGATTAAATGCCAGTGGACCTAAGAGAATGGAGAAGGGGGAATTGTGGCCCCCCAGCCACCAACCATCCTGTGCCCTGGCTTAGTTTTCCTCACTTTCCTGGTCCCCTTCATGTGGGAATTGAATTGTCCCCTTCTTCACTGTGGCCTTGCCACTGCTCATGCCTCTCTGTTCACAAACCTCAGTGGCTCCCTGGAGCCATTACCTGGGCACGGCAGTCAGAGCCCTTACAAAGTGACACCAGTACACCTTGTGGCCATCAGCCCTTCAGAGCCTTCTCTCTGTCACTTGCTCCTTTTCTTACACTCCACGGTGCTGGCTTGTGCTCTCCTGCCCCTGGGCCGGGCTGTTCCTGCTATAGCACCTGCCAATGCTGCACACAGACACCAAGACCCACTCCCTTGCTTCTTCCTCTGGGTAGTTTTCATGGACCTCTGAGTGAGGCTGGGACTTCCTCTTCTGGCCTCTTGTAGCCCTAGCCCAGCCCTTCTTATGCTGGGTTTAGTGCCCCGCTCCCGTACTTAGAGACAGCCCTGGAGGGCGGGGGTGACCAGTTCGTCCCAGTGTCTCCATACCTCTCACTGGCTTGGCATTCAGCGGACACGCCATTATCCTTTACTGATTCCTTGATTGTTCAGTTGGAGTAAACGCTGATGCCTAGAGCAACTCGGAGCTTGCAGGTTTGAAACCGTTAGCTCAAAATAGGCCGCCGAGCCCATAAGGCAGTGTACTTTTAAGGAAGGTATTTGAACTATTTTGCCAGTCTGCTCTTCATTATCCAGGAGTGGGGGGAGACAAGCAAGCAGCATGCGGCCAGATGTGAGGGCCCCGAGCTGCGTGCTTGAGCGGGAGAGCGGCACCCAAGCCTGGCAGGGGCGGGTCCTCACTGGCTTGGACGCAGAGTGTTGGGAGAAGGTTCTGACTCCATGGGAAGCCGGTTGTGGACATGATCTGCTTCCTTGTCCTGGGAAGGTGTTCTCGTTGGGGTGAGTTTCCGGGTAGACAGCTGTCACCCTCGTTGCTTATGTAGACCGGAACTTATGGCATTCACAGCAGGGAAGGGCCCAGATGGTACACAGTCCACATGTGCTCCTTGGCAAAGGAGAGAGTTGTATCTCAGGGCATGGTGTGAGTCATCTGTTTGATTCTAGAGCACTCCACAGGCCTGTGGCCCAGGTAGTGCCAGGGCCCCATCACGCTGCTCGGTGGTCCATACTGTGACCTTTCCCTCTTTCCACGGTCCTCTGCAGGCTCGGTCCATCAGGCTCCCAAAGGCGGGCTGCACTGGCTGGGCATCCTTCTCACCTGCTCCCTCTCCCAGCTTCTTAGCAGGCAGTTCCCATTCCTGGCCATTCTGCCCCTTGTCACCCTGAGGCTGTCCCACCTGTGCCCACAACCCTTTACCCCGAGGAAGCTTCTCCACCTGCGAGCCCTTCTGCCCACCCCGAATCCCTACTTTGTCTCTGAAATAGACACAGCAATAGTCTTCAGGGGTGCTTCTGCTGCCAACGTTGTCCCTGCTCCCTGCACCTCCTCTTCTTAGCATGTGGGCAAGGTGGCTCTTCACAACCAAGGCCTTGCCTCCCTCTTGAGCCCCTGTCTTGGCTCTGTCTGCTCCTCCAGCCCTCCTGGACTTCCAGGGGTCCTCCAGAGGTGTCCTGTGGCCATGGGCCTGCATGCCCTGCCTCACTCCGCCCCTCTGCCTAAAGTTCCCTGTCTCACCACGACCGCACTACCGGCTCTTGGCTGTTAGCCCTCCTGCGTTGTCTTTTGTGAGAAGCCCTCCTTGCCAGGGCCACCCAGTGCTCCCAGAGTACGCTGGAGTTTGGAATTTCCTACGTAGAGTCAGTGGTTACTGGGTATGTCCCTTTGCCATGTGGGTATGATTTGGTATCTCATTGCTTTGTTCTGCATTTCCCCGCTTTCTGTTGAGGTTGAGTAGCTATGTCTTCCTATACTTTTTAATCCATAAGGTTTCCCCATCCATAGTCTCATTTATATTTTTTTTGACTTATTTTAATCATTAAAGAAAACAATTTTAAGATGAGACAGAATTGGAAAGTGGGAAAGGCAGTTTGGAGGCAGACTGCCCCCTGGTGAGAGTGTGTGTGTGTGTGTGTGTGTTGCACACACAGTTCTGCCCAGCTCACAATGAAGCCACCCCTCGTGTCTGTTCCTTGACATGTTTCTGAGAGCTGGAGGGAATCAACACAGAGGCTGTGTCTAGTAAGTAGAAAACTTAGACTCCTCCAATTTTTTGTGCTGGGGTGTCTGTGGGGGTAGCACGGATGCAGGGATAACACACACATGCCAGTTCTCAGCACTTTTTGCCCCATGCGCTGTCTTAGGTCTAACTGTACCTTTGAGATCTAGGGGGGACTGAGCTTTCCTCTCTGGTGCCTTACAACAAGGTGGAAACAAGTCAGCAACTGCCACCTGAAACCACAACTTTCCTTTCCTCTTGGGGAACCTTTCCCTGTCTTGGCGAGTCTCCCAGCTCTCCTCCCAGGCCACCTTTCTCCCAGACCTCTGTTTGGCTGTAGCCCAGCCACCTCTCATTTCAAAAGCTCTGCAAAACCCCTGTGTCTGGAAGAAGGGTTTGTTGTGGTGCTTCCTGGGGGATGGAGAGGAAGAAGAATTCCAGGCGACCTGCCATCACCCAGCTGTCGCACGGACATCAATGGCAAAAGTGCACACCCCCGTGTCCTGCAGATGTTGGAAGCAGGGAAGCTTGGTTATTTTATTCAGCCAGGTCTCTGAAAAGGAACAAAAACTTCCCTGCTTAGCCCGGAATCCCCCAATTTCCCATTGACTGTGTATTGACATTTGTAATAGAATGGAAGTGAAGAAAACATATAAAAGCCTAATAATACTGTTAGGATTTGGAGAATGTTGCCATTCTGAAATGCTTTTAGTTACTGCTCGTTTGTGTGTCAGTATTGTTTTAATGAATTTGGAGCTTTGGGCAGAGCCACGGTTAAAAGGCCCCGTCCCTTTCTACGACTTTTGGAGAAGCCATGGAGTTTGTTTCACACCAGGAGGTCATCTCTGGTGGTTTGACTAAGATTTTGAATTGAGGAGAAAGCTATAGAAGTGAAACATATCCATCTTAATTTAATTTAAAATTTCAGTTGATTTTTTCTTTAGTTATGTTGAGATGTAATTGAGATACAGCACTGTATACATTTAAGAGGTACAGCATAATGACTTGGCATGTATATTGTGGAGTAAATTTAGTTGACACTCATCATCTCAGGTTTTAAAAAAAGAAAAAAGTGTGGGTTTTTCGGTGATGGAAACTTTTGGGGTTTGCTTTCTTAGCAACTTCCGAATACACCGTGTAGCAGTGTCAGCTCGAGTCATCACGTTGGGCGTCACTCCCCCTGTAAGTATCTGGCTCGTAACTGGGCGTTCGCACCCCTCGATCGCTTCCATCCAACTGCCCTCACACTTGGTTTTGTGTGCCACGGTGAAGGGAGAGCATTCAATAAACCTAATGCAGCAAAACTCCACCCAGACAGTTTTACAGGGGGTAGACAGGGGGCCCTCGGTTCAGTTCTCTACCAGGTTGAAAGAAGACAGTCGTGGCTCGTGGGAAGAACAAGCCTCTCAGCTGTTTCTCACCCGGGGAGGTTGTCCCCCTTGGGATCCGTTGGCAGTGCGTGGAGGCATTTTTTATTGTTGTGACCCGGCGAGGGGGATGCTGCTGGCATCCGGTGTGGGGAGACCAGGGATGCTGCTGAACACCGACTGTGCGCGGGACAGCCCCCTCCACACAGAGTGGTCCAGCCCGAGATGCCAGTGCTGCCAAGGAGGGGAAAGCCCGAGAGTCCTGGCTGTGAGGCCTGCCGGTAGTCCACTGTGGGCAGTT